GAGGTTCTTACTAAATTAGTCAGGAAAAATAAATAATGCTTGCAATTTCTTGTTCACCCTCTAGTGCGTCAAAACTCTTTCTCTGGCAGCCTATCATCTGGCAGAATTAAGTGCAGGATAACAGTGGTATTGTGACTAATACAGAAAAAATACCAGACACTAGCTAAATATTTGCAGAGGGCCCGTTTGTGACACATTTACCATAGTGTGTTACACCGAGTGACATGCTGCTTGACGTGATGAAATTTTTGAAATAGGGCCATTAGTCCAGAGTAGAATAGATAATCTCTTTAAACCCATTCTGTTCTCAGTGAAGAGCACAATACACAAATTCTGATCCTCCTAGAGTGCATACAGGCATTTCTGTTGCTGCTGTGGTATTTACATACCACAAATAACTCCTTATTTGCAGTGCTATAATAAAGACATCACTCACCAACTTAGCTCCTGTTAAGGTATTAGTCTGCACTGCATTTAGTATTCATTTGGGGAAAAGAATGACTGATGGGGGTGTTGCAACCAAGATAAGATAAAGCGTAAGAACATATGATGACAGTTTAAAGGTCAGCATTTAATTGAATGTTAGATAAGAGGTGATAGCTTCCTCCTTTCACATCACGATGCCTCTTTGTCCATTTACATTGTATGTCTTGAGATTTTAGACTCAGCTCTGCATTATTTTCTAACAGCTGAGGCCCTTTGTTTGCAGGATTGATGGTTTCATGGGTGTTTGTGACCTTTAAAAATGAGTGATCTAGATGAAGTTGTTTGGATAATCACTTTTGAGGATTGGTTTGCATAAAAAACTTTGTATTGGAGAAAATGCTGTGAAATGTAGTCAAACACATTGTTCTACAAAGCCTGGATTAAAAAGCAAATGAACCAAAGAACACATTTGCACCCAGTTTGGAAAGACTGGCAGAGATGTAAAGACTAAGGCCAGGCCTTGGTTTTATTTATTATTCTCTTTAAAATCCTAGTAGAAACACAAATGAAAAGGTTTGTCATCAGACAGATCGTATTTAATTTCATAGATGAAAAGGTAATTCATAGCCTGAAACCACCCATGTGCAATAGTAACGACTTGCTATTGCAGCTTGAACACCGGGAAGGTGTAAAATTCATCAATAGTAACTAAACTTGGCTCTAAATACGATTTTGAGTCCTCAGCCTGAGCCTTCAGTAGCAAAACCATTGAGAATGCAGATTTATTGCAAGCATTGAAATGTGGAAAGGAATACACACCACTTGTGTGGCATGTCATGTAATGTAATTATCGTCTTAAATGTGTAGGAACATACTCGAATACATTTTTGTTGGGATCAACAAAGGCTTTTCACAAATGACCGAAATCTCTCTTAGAATCATGGGCCAAGAGGCTGGGGCAGGCATCTTGGCCCGTCCCACGCCTCCACTGTTTCAACCATTACATTACTTGGTTGTAGGTTGCTCAGGCTTCATCTTATAATTGATTTTTCTCCTCCTCCAGCACCCCTAGGGGAGACTGTTCAAGAGTTCTGCTCCTATGACTGCTGGAAACCTTTTTCTAAATTTTCCTGTCTAAATTTATTTCCAAACTCTTTTTACCACTGTGCTTCACATATGAGTTTGTAGGTTGTTGCTGGCCAGAGTCTTGCACAGGACTTAATTTTAGCTCAGCATTCTTCCTTAGTTTACAGGAAATTCTGTACTTTGTATGTCTTAATAGTGAATTTCCCATTTATGTCTTGTATTCATCCTGTCACTGACTGCATATACCCAACTCTCTTCCTCTTCTGTCACTTGCAGTTGCTGAGATTTTGGGTTGTGTCGGTGGTTATGTACAGTTTATGTCAGAACCCTAACTATTCAACCTTAAACAATACTTTCAAATTCCTTCCATTCTTCTTATTCCAGTCCTCAAGCTCTGCTGTTCTTCCTGTGCAAAATTCCTGTTTATGGATGATAGCACCCTGTTCTGTGTTACAGTCCATACCAGTTCAAACATGCAATAACATTTTCTTACTGTAGCATTCAATGTGAGTGTAGAATTCAAAACCAGTAGAGAGCTGCATTATGTTCACTTTTCCCAATATAGAATATCCATGTGTTCACACATTGAATATTGAAGCAGATACATGTGTGTCTCAGGTATTCACCCCGGGAAGGAATGGTGGGTGCCCTGCTACCGTGAATGCGACTTAATGATTATTGGGAGGAAAAAACTGTAACTCATTTTTAGAAAAACCTAAGAATTGCAATATGTTTATGTATGTAGTAACCAAGTATCGCGTAGCTTTAAAAAGAAAGAAAGAAAGTGTTTTCTTTTTTCTCTGAGCCTCTCACTGAATCAAGGCTATTACCTGCCTGAGGGCCCTGGTCAGCGTAATCCTGAGAAGCTAAAGTTACTCTAATACCCTCTCTGTTATTGGTCCTCTGATAAGAGTGTCTGTAAGTGTTGCAATTAAAGTGAGTTTGTGGTAGTTTTTTTATTTCATGGATATACACCCACAACAAAATCTGATTTTCCGTCCCTACTGCAGGTCTTCAAACAACTTTTGCATGCTACCAGCTTTTGGCTACTGTGGAATTACTACGTCTAATTCCAGGACTAAAGCTGAGAGACTTCATCGCACTGTTAGTCTTTGCCTGAAAATAAAGTGTTCCTTTTCCCTGCTTTACCAGTATAGCATTATGCTCATCTTTGCCCCAAAAACTGCTTGTCTGTTTTCTTGAGGAAGTCAAGTTGTATTTTTCACCAGCAGCATTTTATTTCTGTCAGCTTGTGCACCAGTTTTGAGTTCTTTATTTCTTACAATGTTATCTCATAGAAATTACAGTTATTTTGTTCAGTGAGTGAAATTTACTTGTGTGCTCTTGAAGTAGTGCAGTGCTATTTAAACCTTGTTTCAAGGCTGACGTTGAAGTCTAGTGCCTTATATACCACCCTCTGGCCACAGAGGCATTTTCCCAAATGATACGAGTGTATGCAGGTGGATTTATTCAGTTTAATATAGTGCCATTACCATGCTGTCGACCCAGAAATAAAACAACAGAACCCTACAGTGTCCCTCTCAACAGATCGTTTATATATAACTTGACACTAAAAATAAGAAGGTGAGAACATACAGCAATTCTGGATTTAACAACTTAATCTTTGATGTGATTGAAAGTTGGGTAAAAGTAATGACCAGGTTTTTTTCTGCCTGTCTTTTTGTAGGGTTATCTGATAGTCCTCTTGTCATGTTTCTCTTGGCACGTCAGGCTTTTGGGATACTAGGGACGTCAGGGTTTCCCTCTAATTGGAACTCTAGATGTCAAGCTGGCAGTAGATCATTCAGTAGTAGATCTGTTGCCAGTTATGTATTGAGTCTGGTTCTATATATATTTTTTCCTTTAAAATGGGAATCTACTCGATTAAAAAAAATCTGAGTGCCCTATTGCATTTGCAGGACCAATATTATCTTTTAAACAGTTCATAATCCTGAAATTTTCGTGTGCTTCATTGTGCGGTGTTTTGTTAATATGAGTGAACTTGCTTTTAATGTTTTATTTAGTGTCCTTTATACAGCCATGTTCATTATGATTTTTTTACTAAGTTAGTTACGATAAAATTCAGAACTCCTGTATGAAGGCTATTTTTTTTTAATAATATGTTCGTAAGTCGGAAAGAGGAAATAAATGTGAAGACCTGGATTTTGTTGAAAATTGTTCTTGCCATAAGTTAAACAGTGTTTTTTGATGGAGTTGCTTATGTATGGTTGGAGAAATTAGTACCCAAAACCTATGTTACCAAAACGGATTCTTTTAGCTGTGGGTACATTACAGTACATCCAGTATACACAGTAAAAGTCACAGACTGGTCCAGGTCACTCATGTTTTGGAGTTTATGAAAAAAAAAAAGCTAAAAAAGAAAAAAAACAAACAAAACAGTGGAGAGGAAGAGAGAATAGAATTCAGGGAGCATAGTAGGAGAGGAGGCTAAAAAGAGAATTTACATTTTTACCAAAATATGTGGTAACTGTTTGAAGGGTAGTAGTTTAAGGGTTATGAAAGTCTTATGTGCTGAATGAAATGTAAATGTATTTACCTAATGCTGATGGGATTAACTTCCCTTTGTGGAGAAGATGGCTTGATAACATTAATTGATATCTGTAAGAACTACTTCTTCCTATCCACCTACAGGCAAAAACCAGACAGCCCTAAGAAAACATCACAACAGTAGAAAAGGATAGCAAATTATCATAATGCAGATGTGTGTTTTCAGGTAATAAACTGGTGTTGCTTAAATGGCAGTTGAGGTGACCAGAGGAAACAGACAGTGGCATATGAAATAATGCCATGTATACAAATAGCAAATTAGGGCCACTGAATTTTTCCTTCAGTGCTGGAATTTGTGCTGCTTGGTAGAGTTGAGGAGTGACACATTCAAAACTGGGGAAGAGGTGTTCTTTCCGTCCAGAGCGCATAGCTGACTTGGAGCGCTCCCTGATGTCAGTGTAGCAACAAAAATTAGCAGGATTCTTGAAGCCTCTTACTCCCTCTGACAAAATATTAGACCCTTTTGAGGGCATACTAGGTCTGCTGTGTCTGATGTGAAGATGGGAGAGTGGGCATCTGAGTATTTCTGGACAGTGAAGAGAATTAGTAGAAAAACTTGTAAAAAAGTAGAAAAACTTTTGGTTCTAAAAACATAGGCATCCATTCTGGACATATAAAAGTTTCTTGTGAGACACCCTTGCTAGCAGCAATAACACAATATTTAAATACAAAATAACTTCCCTGAGTATCAACTTGAAAAGTCAGTGCTTTAAGTAAAGCATGGTTATTCTGATCTGGTTCAAAGCTGTCTGACACAATTTGATTTTAGTTAGCATTTAGTAACCAGTGCACTGCTAGAACAGGACTGGGTTTTGTTTGTCAGACATTATCTTGGACCAAATTATAACACGTTTGACGTTAATACCAAAGTTACTAACCATATAGGAGAATAACCCATTTCTACATTTTTTTCTCCCCAGACACCTGAGGAGCTAGAAGATGTATCTGACCTTGAAGAAGACCATGATGCACGTAGTCGTACAAGTATTCAGACTGAAGGGAAAACTGACAGGGTATGCATTACACCAGTTTACTTAAAAAGCAATTTGATGAGGGGAAAAATGCTACTGTATTACTGTTTTTAAGAAGCCACTTAAAGTCATGCAGTGAATCATTAAAATCTTGTTCAACTTCAACTCTTAATAGATTTCTGAAAATGTGCAGAGGACATAAAGTAATGTGTATGATCTGAGAGAGAAAAAGACAGTGTAATTAAGTTGGAAATACTTGGTGAAGAAGTAGAATCATAGAATATCTCAAGTTGGAAGGGACCCATAAGTATCATCAAGTCCAACTCCCTGCTCCCCGCAGGACTACCTAAAACTAAACCGTATGACTAAGAGGGTCTTCTAACAGAGGTGTGGTTTTCATACTACAATTAGCTAGTTCACTTAGGGGACACTAATTAGTGGATCTAGCTGACTAGTAAAAGAGGCATAAAAGGAGAGTTTTGACACTCAAGGATATATGTTTGTTGTTTTAGAGATCTCGTAGTCTTCTGCTCCTCATTATAGATACCCTGGTGCCTATTACCTTTAGTACATTCCTTCAACAATCAGTCGTCAGAATCTTAGCCGCTGCAGAGCGTGAGTTACAGGCTTTTCCTACTGTGTTGATGTGTGAACCTGTTCTGTAGTGTATTGCTTAACTAGTGAATTCACAAGGAAGTATGAAAAACTTAATTCATTATTTGACAAGTTCAGTATTTCTGGAAGTTCTGAATCTGGTTTTCCTGCTGTATCATCATTTAACCTGAGGACTTCACTACATTACTGGTTATTGTTTATTGTTTACAGTCAAACGTTTTTAAGAGCCTGATAACATTAGATAGCAAAAGGTTTCTTAGTATAAAATTGATGTATTTAGCAAACATTAATCTTCTTTATGTTTCCATTTTAAATAATGTTTCAGTAAAACTGTGCAATATTCACGACTTTCTGAAGTGGAAAGGTCCATGGGGCCAGAAATGTCTATTTCATTAGTTGTTTGCTCAATACCTAGAGCAATAACAGATCTCTCACACTTGATTGATTCTAGTATTATTCCCATAATGGAAATTACAAATGATAGAGCTAGTTGGGAAAAAACAAAACTTTTCAGTATAAAAAGAACTATGTGAAGAAAATGGCATTTTAATTCACATTGGTTTTTCAGCAAGCACTTTTTTTTTATTCCCCAAACACAAATATTTTCTTTATTAAGGCCCTAAATAGTAATGAAAAACTATTAACCAGAATGAATGGTGTTCACTTGTGTTGCATATGTGCATATCAATTACATGTTAATTAACTGTCAGTTGATTCTTAAAACATGTGAGAAATGTAACAACTATGTGAAAGATCACCTCATACAGTCTTATTACTCAATAAACATAATTGGCAATTAAAATACGCTAGGTGCCCTTTTCTGTTAAAATTACTTTGTAAATGCTAGCACATTTTCCAAAAAAGGCTAAAATTTCTCTTGTAGTCAAGAAAGGTGTCGTGGTTTAACCCAAGTCGGCAACTAAGCACCGCACAGCTGCTCACTCCCCACTCTGAGGACTGTTGTAGGTAAGGAGCGGGTTACCGAGCATCAGAGGCATAGGTTACTGCTGTGGAGAGATGCCTTGGGATGCTGTCGTGGTTTGGCCCCGGCCAGCAGCTCAGCACCACGCAGCCGCTCGCTCACTCCCCCTGCCCCGATGGGATGGGGGAGAGAATCGGAGGAGTGAGAGTGAGAAACACTCCGGGTTGAGATAAGAACAGTTTAATAATTGAAATAAAGTCAAATAGTAATGATAATAATAACAATATAATAATGATAATAACAATATACAAAGCAAGTGATGCCCAATGCAATTGCTCACCACCTGCCGACCGATATCCAGCCAGTTCCCGAGCAGCGATCGCTGCTCCCCGGCCAACCCCCCCAGTTCCTATACTGCCCATGATGCCATATGGTATGGAATAGCCCTTGGGGCAGTTGGGATCAACTCTTCTGGCTGTGCCCCCTCCCAGTTTCTTGTGCCCCTGGCAGAGCATGGGAAGCTGAAAAGTCCTTGACCCACATAAGCAGTACTGAGCAACAACTAAACCATCAGTGTGTTCTCAACATTCTTCTCCTGCTAAATCCAAACCACAGCACTATGCCTGCTACTAGGAAGAAAATTAACTCTATCCCAGCCGAAACCAGGACAGATGCGCTTTTCCTTGGACTACACACACAAAATATATAATCTGCGCTGTCAGTGAATGAGGTGGAAGGGACAGTTATTTAGAGATAAACTTTGGTTAATACATAAAAATACCTAATACATGAAACAGTATTTTAACAGTATAGGATGTACATTTCTATTTTTCCTTCCATTTCTCCCCAAAATAATACAACTACTGCCAATGTTCCTTTTTGGTGGATCTAGATAGCAGTCATTACTTAAAGCCTGATTCTATATCTTTACTTGGGAACAGTTTTCCTAGTTTTCAGATTATGGTATCAGGGCCATAAATGGCACATTCCCCCCTAATTTAATAGAAAATTATAGCTTTGACTAAATTAGATACATACCCTCTTAACCTAAATCAAATGTTGACAGAAACCTTCACATACTTTTTTTTTTTTTTTAAAAACAAATGATTGAACAATCCGTTTGCTGCTGCAGCAAACGTGGATTTAAGGCCTCTTTGTTTGGACTGATATTTGATACTGATACTTGAAGATTTATACCTAGAACCTATTTAGCAATATGAAGAATCTGTATAGGGAAGACAGATTTTAAGGTTTAGACAGGGGTAGTCTTTTCTTTTGTCCTCTGCAGCAGATTTCCTGGGCTATTGTGAGGCTTTTGTGTGCAGCGGTAACGCTAAGAATGGCTGTGTTCCAGAAGTGGTATGGCGAGATTCAAAGTAGCTTTTTTTCCTCCTCGAGTTCTTTCTCTTGGGCATTTCCACTACAGTAATTCAATTTTATTTATACATACCTGTCTTGATACTAGTTCTGCATAACAGCACTCTTGATTCCTCTTGCTTTGTCAAGAGTGTCGTATTTTTTCCTATGTCACATCTCTCACTGCTCCAACAGGGAATTAGTGCCTATGAAAGGACCTTTTCCTTTCTCTATTTATCACAACATAAAAACCATAGCAGAGTGTGTAAAACCGGATGTGATGTGCATATGCCACTTGTAACAAAGGCCACATCTTAACTAGCAAACCTCATTAGGAAAAATTCATTTATTATTAATTATAACTTCTTCAGAATCTCTCTCTCGCTATATAGAGAGTATAGGTTAGTGGTGAGATGACAGGATGACATCTGACCTCGTGTTTACGTTCCTGACTCTGCAAGTATATAGGTAATCTTGGAAATGTTACTTTGTTGATCTTTCCCTCAGATAATTCCGTATCTTTAAGATGAATACGATAGTGCTTATGGGACCATCCCACACCATGGGATGCAGGTTAACTTGGGCAACGTGCTGTGAGAACTCTCAGTGATTAAACTGGATAGCAATACTGATTATTATTTCTAGGGCGGTTTATCTCCCTGAAGAAGATCCTTAGGACCAAATCCTTAGCTACTATAAAAACAGGTACTGCTTGTGGATCCAAGGACTAGCACCGTTTTTCTCAGCTGAAAGTTAGATCTTCATCTGGTTGTTGTGTCTAATTTGTGTAGTTAGTCTGCAAGCCTATCAAACAGTAATTTTGCTTGAGGAAATTTATGCCATTATGGTCAGTGTAATTCTACTGAGGTAGTGGCTTATTATCATACAATTTTGCATTGAAAAGAAGGTCAAGTTAAGTATTTGCCCAGTTAATTTTCGGACTTAGAAGACAATGTACGTTCTGATGATAGGAGAAAATTTAAGTGTTTAAAGTTACCAAATTAGTGAAGAGAACAGCTTAGCTTAATTTTGAAGTTATTGCTACGGGTTAGGTGTTCATATTGAAGAAGAGGTGAAATGTTTTAGCTCATACATCATCCATGTACAGATGACAAGAGCAGAAATGCTTTCAGGCAGCCACCCACCCACATTTTTTCTCAGAGTTCTGCGAACTGTTTTGTGAATACATAGACAAAAATGTCTGAGAATAAGATCTTTTATACGTATTTGTTGCGTACTATGTTTGCGCAACAATTCAGCGCTGATGAAGAATTGACTCTATAGTGTATTCTATTGTGAGTGAGAAAATCTAGGCTGAATTACTTTATTGTTTTATTTATATTACATCTTAAATACGGCAGTCAGTAATATATGCCTAAAAATATATTTGACCTTGAAAAGATGGCCATATAAAAGTCTTACCAAACTGTCTAAGAAGAGAGACTAGCTATAAAAGCAAACACCAAGGACACGTATTGATAATTGCATAAAACAATACTTAGAAGGGAAGTTAATTTGCCATCAAATGAATCAGTTATCCTTACTCAATTAGCAAGTACTTTACATCTAAGTTCCTATGTTAATATAAATGCTGGCATACATTGACAGGAAGCATGTGCTAGTTTGTTAATACGAAGCCGAGTTTAAAATATTTTTCAAATGGAATTTTTATCAAAGCCACACAGGAGCTTCAAGTCCTGATGATAAGAATTCAAGCATAATGCAAATAACTACTGTAATTTTGAATAGGTTCTACTAATAATAATTTTGACACTTAATACATGGCAAAAGATTCCCTGTCAGGAGTCATGATCTATAGAAAGTATTTCATTTCCTTGCTGATTCTCAAGTTACCCCAATTTCAGTAAGCGGAAGAGATGAAGTTAATGGAGGACTCGAGGATGTAGCAGTATAATATTATATACTATTACAAAGTAGGACTGGAAAGAACCCCAAGTAGTAAGCTAATCCAGCCATTTGTCCCAAGGTAGAATATATATACTTCCTGACACATACATATGTAAGAGCAATTGCATTGCTGTGTCTATTTAGCTCATTACTGGAATTGATTGTTTATTGGAAAGTTTTTTCTTTATACCTGATATGTTGCAGTTAAGCATGTTTGTTAGTCTTACCTGGAATGGACACAGAGGATCTGAGCTTTCCTTTTTGTGTATATAATTTTTTTTGGTACTTTCAGATCCTTATTCCATGTCCTCTCTGTTTTCTAAACTCCAGGTTAAATAACTCCAATACCCTTTATTTATCCTTTAAGATAGTGCTTTCTGTATGCCTTTTTGATCTGTTTTTCTCTCCTCTGGATGCTCTTCAGCTGGTTAGTGACTTAGAATCTTGTATCCAGACTATTCATATTGTTAAATGCATTATGCCAGCTCTGGTCTCAACAACAAGCACAAGGGTGAGGTTTACACTATTTTCTTCTGTATGCATACTTTAGAATGAGTTTTGAATAAGGTTTGCCCTTTTGCCAAAAGTACAACATTTTGATCAACTACAAATCCTCACCCACAGAACCACTGATAACTGGTTGTGTCTCAGTTCTGTGTGCGTATTGCTGATTTTTCTTAGGTGTAAAATCTTGTATGTGTCTCAGCTGAAATAGATCCTGTTATTTTTTAAGATCAGTTCTCAAGTTTCTCAAGATGAATTGTAAACCAGGACTCTTACATGTCACACCAGGCCTCTTACACTGCAAATGTGTGATGCATACTCTTGGTTCTGTCATCCACACCGTTAGTGACAATAGTGAATAATGCCAGAGTTGGGGAAGGTCCCTGCAGAATTTCGCCCGACAGATCCCTCCGGTTTGGCATGCGTTCTTGATAAGTATTCTGTGAGCAGTTTTCTGACAAGTATCATATCCACCCAGCGGCAGTTACACGGAGATCATATTGCCCTAGGTTATTTATGAGGATGACATGAGAACGAGTGACAAAATCCTAGTGAAGCCCAGATTCATGACATGTTGCTTCTTCATCTATAGGCCTGTTACCAGGGGACAAAGAGACGTTAGATTTAATATGACACAATTGCCTCATCTAAGCCAACCTTTTTAGCGAAGGCTGATGCAAAAATGGCATTAAACAGTTTGTTCTTTTGTTATTCTCTCCTAACAGCTTTACCTCTTTATCCAGTTATATTGTATCTAAAAATATACAGGAAATGACATGGCAGCACGTATGAGATGCCCTCTGAACTTGTTCAAAGAATGCTGGACTTCAGCAGGTGTGCTACAGTTCTTAAAACTGGAAGGAGACAATTGGTGACAGCCGATAGTAAACTTGACAAAAGAAGTTCAGCTTCTCCCAACTGTTAGCATCATACACCCACACAGTTCATCTCTAAGGAACATCCTGTGTATTCATTTTGTCATGAGTTGCTGAATATCCACCATTCTCTCTTTCACCTCTTTATCCAAACTTGAACAATTATTCACTTGGTAGAAAAAGCAGGATGTTTTGTAAAAGGTAGTGTACACATTTTACTCATTGTAAGAGAATCACTCTCAACTCTCTGCCATATTCAAGAAAAGTACTTCTATATTGGGATTCAAAAGACATCTGTCTTAGTAAGTGACCGTCTTACGGCCACAGTCATGATAAAATAGGCTCAGCTGATGTGCACTTATTTTATGATGGTGATCAACAAAGTTTGTTCAAGAAAAAACAATTAAATGTCACAATTGAACTGTTCTAAAACAGTTTGATTGAAATATGTTCCTGTCCTTTGAGTGATTTGGAGAGATCTTGTTCACTTCCAGCAAATGTTGAGCTGACTGCGGCAGGGGAACAAGAACGCAGGTGAGATGGCTTCTGGTCGCTGCTGAGCCTGTGGTGGAATGAAGAGCTTAGCTCTCAACTAAGGCAAAGCAGGGACACGAATCGGGCCTTTTTGAATCTATGCCATTTTCTTATAACTACAGTATGTGAAGAGCATGTTATTTTGTATTCTTGTTTGTGAAAGCTCTGAAAAGTTTTTCATGGGCTCCATTGGGAGAGTGGGGTTTGTTTTCTTTGTAACCTATAAAATTGTAGAAAACCAGAGTTTTTCTCTCTTTCTTCTCTATAGTTACGTGACAGACTGCAGCCTACAAGACAGGAAGCGTTAAATAATTTTCAAAGGGAGGTTCTTCCCTTTGAAAAGGATATCTGGGTCGCTTCTGTCTCAGACAGAAGGCGTTTTCCATAACACGGAACAATTGCTTGAATGTATTGTGCTTCTTGTGGCTTTTCTTTCTTCTTTCCTCCCTGTAAGTGGTAAGATTTCTGGTGGTGTGGATCTGGCCAGTCGTTTGGTTTAGGGGATCAGGAAATCAAAAATGTGTGTCACTCTAAGACTCGGAGAGAATAATCATAAGTTTATATGAAAGTAAATTCCTTAGAGTGTAGCCAGGGACAAAGGTAGGTAAAAGGCCAGTTCTTTGGGTTGGGATCTCACTGGTGAGTAATACACCAGTGAGAGAAGAGTCAAAATCGTCAGCAAGTGGTTACTCCCCGTGTGTCCTCTATTTTTATCATTATGTAGACATTTTCTTGTGACCTTAAAATTTCAGTATGTGTGATAGCGAATTGACTGAAACTTGGAAGGGGCTGAAGTGAAAAGAAACACTGATCTCGCATGGTAATTCATGTTACAAATGGCACAATGCAGATAACCCCACTGTTGGAGACTCACAGCTACCAGGGATAAATAGCTTTCCAAAGAGTTAATTCCAGGAAATTAAAGGAAAAAGTATATACTGGGGTTTTTGTAATAGAAGAAAGAAAAATAGCAAAAATATGACAACTTCTCTCACCTTGTTTTAACTCTGTTATCTGCTACTGCAATAAAAAAACATTTTGTCTTAGAAGTAATGAAAAAATTTTCTCCTGATGGACAAAAAAACCCCTGCACTCATGTAATAGCAGTCATTCAGTTTAGCTCTTTATTTCCCGTTTACCATTATGTTGTCTATTTTGATGCAAAATCGTATCTGCACTTAAAAGGCTGTATATACAATTGTTTTATGTTGTTGCTGTACATGGTTTTACAGCAGTATGAGAGAAAGGAAAGAAAAAAAATCAAGGTCAGAATTGTAATTTCTTTTGTTCCTTTGTTCCAGTGGATAATGTGTCTCATTCCACCTGAAACTCATTATTGTTGGTGCATAGCAGGATACTGTATGTCACAGTTCCCTCATTAAAATGTCATCTTTCTTGTGGTTTCCAGGTCTAGGCCTGTGTTCTTGAACTCAAAAGAGTATTGAAGCTGGGGGTTAGGAAATACCATAAGCGTGCACCAATCAGCAAATATGCATTAGATTATAAAAAGGGGTGCTTCAGTTCTCTTGATGCTGTAGCCCAACTCTTATTTTTGTCTGTTTCATACCTTTCCCAGCAAGCTTATCCTACAGCCATGAGGAAGATGTGTCTTGGTCTTCTCTCGTCTGTTGTAGTTTGGTGGTGGTTTTTTTTTTTTTTTTTTTTTTTTTTAACAAAATGGGAAAGTATTCCTTAAAATAGTTGCACTTTCCAATTCTGTGACTGCAATTATAACAGTTACACTTTGGGAGACCTGTAATTTCAAGTAATTCACATAAATGGGAAAATTAACCTTGTTACAGAGTGAGTCAAGCATAAATAAAACCTCTGAAATGGCATGGCTTGAAAAACATACGCATTACATATTAAATTGCTTACCCGTTATACTAATTACAAGTAATTCAGCCACTGCCTTAACTTTCGGTTTTATGGATGGTGTATGTTTTATAAACAATAATAAGTCACAAAATATTTATTGTTTAATTGCAGCATAATCACAGTGTGCTAATAGTTGCTGCATGTAACTGTGAGTTCCTGATGGCCTGTGGTGCAAGAGGTGGACCACTTCACAGAGAAGGGGATAGATAAAAACCACTGTGGCAGTAGAGCTGTCAAGCCCAATAGGCCAAAAGGTCTTTTCACTTCTGTGGTAGAAGGTGTTACGAAGGGCCAGGACTGCTATATGGCCACATTATCTTAGCCCCTGTCTGCTACCTGGCAGTATATCTCACCCTTGTCTAGAGCAGACAGATCATCTTGCTCATGCAGAAGAATATTAAGTAAAATATTTCTCTCACTATGCTGCATTTTCAGAAGTTGTTCCACTCTTTATATATTAAATACTTCACTAATACTTAAATATAGGAAGAATACATGCATTCAGTATAGATTGAATGTTCCGATTCCATAGTCTAAACTTGCACAAAACACACCACTTGTCTAGCTATGCTAAACCTTTACTTGAAGCAGTTGTAGCTGGTGGAATGTTTGCAAACAGTCCAATCTGGAGCTGCAGCCAAGTATAGGGCTTGAGCCCTGTTTGGCTGTGGCTTGATTTGAATAGTGGATGTTTTCCTATTGGCATTCAGGATACTTTTTTGGTAACCTTATTCACATACTGATTTCTGACATGTTCGTCTATTTATTTATCTTCTTCCAAGACAGAAGGTGTGTAATTGAACAATTAAGTCTTTCTCAGTTCTTAAAATGATACTGTAGAACCTTCTCAGGAGAGAGGGCAAGCATACCTGAAAGTTTTAGGACAATTAAACCTTCTCCTTTATTCTTTCCTACCTGAATGAATATTGCATTTTGTAACTTGCATACTTAAAAACACTTAGGCTCCTTCATCCCTCAGAAAAAGGAAAATCTTATCAGTTGTATTTCATAAAGGTTCTTCAGAAGAATTTAGTCTTCTTTCTCTCACTATGTTAATATTAATGGTTTCATGGACACCACTGTCCCCATTACACTGAGGTAATTTATTTGGCCCAGTGATAGCATACAGATTTTTAAATTCAGAAGTGCTCAGGCTGGAAAAGTTGGCTCAGGCCACAGTGTGTTTAAACTATACATCTATGATTTAATAATATCCAGTGATTTTGTTTAAAAAAAAGAAAAACACTCAGACATCGATGTTTTGCAGATAAAATTATTTTACGTTTCAGGCCAAGATGACTCAACTGCCAGAGGCTGAAAAGGAAAAGATAGCTGAGCAAGTGGCTGACTTTAAGAAAGTTAAGAGTAAGCTTGATGCAGAGATTGAAATATGGGACGATACCAGCAATGACATAATTGTTTTGGCCAAGAGGATGTGTGTGATTATGATGGAGATGACTGACTTCACAAGGTAATTATGCAAAAAAAGGGGTTTTGTTATTTATAAATGTTGGAGGCCATTGTCATATTGACATGGCAGGAAATACTGAGTTTTTAATGTCAGGTAACAGTGTCTTTGCAAGACCGAGTGGCTAAGCTGATGTAGTTAGCTTTACCACACTAGCTAGTAGTACTGAAATGTTGGAAGGGAGGTTTGAAGTTAAAACTATGCTTGTACTTAATTTCTTTTTTTATTTTTTTCCCTCATTTTTTTATTCATTTGTTTGGTTGGGGTTTTTGCACATTTTTAGCACTTTATTTCTGCTCTTAGTGAAAGGGAAAAAGTAACAAAATAATCTTGATTTTAAGCTGTAGCTCTGTCTCATCTGTTGTTCTTTCTACTTGTACCATACCATGCTGTCAAGCATAAAAAATGCTGTACAGATCATATGTCTGGTGGCACACTTTCAGACTCATGCGTGTTGTATATCACATTACTTGCTGTTGCTTCCATCAGAACTTTATCGTGCTGCTGTATGTAGTTTTAAAGAATGAAGTGTCCTATAGCAGATAGCTTTCAAAGCTGGTATTTCTCTCTGCTGCCAGTATGTGTTCTACGATACGTGTATACAGGAAACAATCTTAAGTTCAGGAGCTTTTTCTGCCATGCACTGAATAAATGTTCAGTAAATTTCATCAAATTAATTGTACCAAAGGGAGCTACTGGTGTTCGGGTTTTTTTTCACCTGGTTACTAATAAAATAGTTGCTCATAGGCAAGTGAAGCCCTAAAACACAACCACTCTTGCAAGACACTTCAGGTCTCATAAAGTCGGTCCTTTCATGCAAGATATAAAGAAAAAGCTCAGCCTCTTGGACAGATTCTTCAGGTGTGTAAATTAAACAGAGTTGTGTAGAGCTGAACCAGCTAACAAAGCTGGGGTCTGGCTTAGGCCTGTTCTGGGGAAGGCAATTGTTGCATTTTATCATGTTAGTGCTTTCCAAAGTCACCTTCATATGAGAGAGATTTAAAGACCTGCATGTTGATCTCTGCAATCCTTTTATTCTTTTTAAGAGTATATGATTTGTATTGAGACCTTTGGAAAAAAACATACTGTGCCATAAAGTCAGTCTTTACAAAGTCACCTCCCTCACCAAAATTCTGTAAATTATTAGCTTTAGATCAATCAAGATTAACAGGGCCAGTTCACAGTCTTAGTTTTGCATCTGTGGCTCTCTGTTGAACACAGCATAATCTGCAGTTTCGAGTCAAGGAGCAGCTCTTGTCCAGTGTTGCTGATATCCAAAGAGTCCACAGAGAACTCTGAAATTCCTCTGGTAAAATCATAGAATACCAGGTTGGAAGGGACCTCAAGGATCATCTGTTCTAACCTTTCTTGGCAAAAGCACGGTCTAGACAAGATGGCCCAGCACCCTGTCCAGCTGAATCTTGAAAGTGTTCAGTGTTGGGGAATCACCACTTCCCTGGGGAGATCATTCCAATGGCTGATTGCTCTCATTGTGAAAATCTCTTGTGTCCCATCGGAATCTCCCCAGGAGTAACTTGTACCCATTAGCGCTCGTCTTTTCCATGTGACTCCTTGTAAAAAGGGAGTCTCCATCCTCTTTGTAGCCACCTTTTAAATACTAGAACATGGTGACAAGGTCTCCTCTAAGCCTTGTTAACTCAAGGTTGAACAAACCCAGTTCTCTCAAGCCTTTCCTCGTATGGCAGGCTTCCCAGTCCTTTGATCATCTTTGCGGCCCTTCTCAGGACCCTCTCCAGCCTGTCCACAATTTTTTTCATAGCGGGGACCAAAACTGAACTCAGTATTCCAGGTGTGGCCTGACAAGCGCCGAGTAGAGTGGGATAATGACTTACTTATCTCTGCTTGTGATGCACTTGTTGATGCAACCCAGCATCCTGTTGGCTTGCTTTGCTGCAGCAGCATACTTTTCACTCATATCGAGCTTGTCGTCCACCAGGACCCCCAGGTTCCTTTCCACAGAGCTGCTTCCCAGCCAAGTAGATCCCAGCCTGTGCTGCACTCCTGGATTATGTTTTCCCAGGTGCAAGACCTTATACTTGTCCTTGTTGAACTTAAGGTTCTTGTTAGCCCACTCTTCTACCCTGTCCAGGGTGGCTGCAGGGTGGCTCTCTCTTCCAAAGTGTCCACTTACCCACTCAGTTTGGTATCGTCAGTGAACTTCATCAGGGTTCACTTGATCCCATCATCCAGATCACTTACAAAGATATTAAATAGCATTGGGCCCAGTATCAATCCCTGGGGGACCCCATTTGTGACAGGTTGCCAGTTTGAAAAGGAGCTGTTTATCACCACCCTCTGGGTGTGGCCTGCCGGCCAGTTCCCCACCCGCCACACAGACCACTTGGCTGGACTGTAACACGGCAGTTTCTCTGGGAGGAGGTTGTGGGAAACCGTATTGAAAACCTTGGAGAAATCGAGGTAGACAATGTCTGCCGCTCGCCCCACATTAAACGAGCAGGTTACTTTGTCGTACAAAGCGATCAGGCTTGTCAAACATGATTTGCCCTTGGTGAATCCGTGCTGGCTTTCCCAGTCACGTGCTCTATTTGACTTGTGGTAGCCCTCAGGAGGATTCGTTCTGTAGCTTTCCCAGCAGCTGAAGTAAGACTAATGGGCCTATAATTTCCTGGATCCTCCTTTAAGCCCTTCTTGTAGATGGGGTTGACATTAGCCTTCTTCCTGTCTTCTGGGACATCCCCCAATCTCCACGACTTCTCAAAGATTATGGAGAGCAGCCTCACAATGATGTCAGCCAGCTCCCTGAACACCCTCGGGTGGATAACATCAGGGCCCATCTATTTGTAGGGGTAATAGTTCATGTACCAACCTCTTCCTTCACTGACGGCGGGTCTGTGTTTGCATCAACCTGGGGTTTTGTTCCCAAGGCCTGGGGCCCAACAGTGTTGCTAAAGACAGAGGTGAAGAAAGTGTTGAGAAACTGCCTTTTCAACGTTGTTGGTGACTAATTCGCCTCTCCTGTTTGACAGCGGGCCACTATTTTCCTTCTAATAACTTACTTGAAGGTAAAATTAAAATCTGTTGGGAAGAGAGAGCAGAAATCTTAGTCTTTACTTCAGAGTATGGTAAGGAACTACGTTATTGGAAGATGGATTTTGATTATTCTCTTCCAAATTTTAGGAAATGTATTAATCTTCCTTCATAGATGTTTAGGCTATAATTTGAGATACGCAAGTAGGTACAAGTATATACTCCTGTATTATGTGTTTGATGCTTAAGTTGTAATTTCTTGGGGGTAGGACTATCTTACCAAGTCTTTTGTTCAGTTTCTAGGACTGTTAATAACAGAAACCAAGGTCACCCTATAATACTGTATATACAATAATATGTCTTCCAAGATACTTTTGTATCTTATGTAACTTTACCTCACATCTTTAGAAAGCTGGTTTTGAATAAGTCCATCAGTAATATGTTTTCAAGTTTTGTTTCTGCTTCAATGATGCCAGACAAGGTCTTGTAAAATGAAAGTTTGTATTATCTAAACAATAGGGGAACTCTTGTGGATCTTCCCCTTCCTCTTACTGTTGCTGTATCAAAGGTGGCAGTTAAGTGCTGAGGAACACAGCTGACTTTCTCATTTCCATCTCCATGAAAATCTGGGGAAGAGTAATGCAGAGGCCACAAGCACCAGCTCACCTGAGGGTTTGAGCTCTCCAGTCTGTAACTCCAAGTTCTTGGACATGGAAGAAATAAAAGATTCTGACATTTTTTATTTGTTACATCAGAAGCCACTCAAGCAAATAGTAAATTGCTGTATTTGAGTCACCTGTTACCTAAGCTGATTTCTGTTTTTCTTCAAATGTATTACCTTGCATTCATTTTTATTTAATCTCAATGATTGCTTTCCAAAGCTTTAGTTTTTTGAGATCATCTTAGCATCTTAGCGTGTTTGTGTGTGTGTGTGTATTGTCCTGAACATTTATGCAATAGTTATATATTCAACTAAAACCAAGTTAAAGTTGGTATCAGAATAACTCATTATTCAGACAGAAGGTAATGGGAATGATGATGACATAAAGTATCGATGTGTATGCTTCAGATCATTAACAAAAAATACTTCAGGATTACTTCGGTGAAGGCAAGCGATAATCAGTGATTGCTCAGCAGAAGGTAGGACTGGTGTAAAGAGTAACCATCTGAAGTAGCTTCTTACGGCTTAGATTCCTTAGTGATTACAGAGGTAGTGCCTCTGCTTTTTTTTTTTGTCTTGGCAGAAGGGACCTGCAGAACCTCATTTGAAACAATTCTTATCCTACTGAACATTCATGAGCGTGTCCTCTGCAGACAGACACTAGGCCAGGCTACTGTAATTTTATGTAACATGCATTTTTCCAGCTTTCTTTTAAACTTTGGATGTGCTACATGACATAAGCTTACTAGAACTTGATGATGAACCTTGCTGCAGTGAGCCATCCTATAAAACATTGCCACAGAAAACTTGACATACACCTGACAGATGGAAAAGTAATGGAACAAGAGCAGAAATCTATTGTAGGAAGTTTGTAGCAGCTAGCAGCAGCTGCTGATTGGTGGTACGAACATGATAATCAGGCCTGTTTATGCAAAACTGGTTATACTGATTGCTGGAATCTGTTAAAAATTCCGTAAAAATACCATCATATTTGCAGTAGTAAGCTTTGGCCATGACAGGCAGAAGTGGAGGCAATGGATAAGAGGCATTTGCTCTGCTGAAAGTGTGGTCCCCTATTCACGCTTGGACTCCACCAGAGTTCTCGCTTGTTGGTGGATAACATATGAAGTTCCTGAAGGTTGTTGCTGCTAGAAGTGAGAGAGTTTGGTAGAGGTTTCTTTCCTGTATTTTACTTCGCTGAAAATGAACTGGATTGTCGTTTTAGTTTCTTTAGGGGGGGGCTACAGTGAATAAGGCAAAAAGAACCGGGAGCGTGAAATTGTTCCTATATTGCCATGGCTTCAACAGCGAAGGCATTCAGCAAAGCGGAGAA